CTATGGCTGTGAGGAAGGCAGCAGACCTCACACACTCACACTGTGAGGAAGGCAGCAGACCTCACACACTCACACTGTGGCTGTGAGGAAGGCAGCAGACCTCACACACTCACACTGTGGCTGTGAGGAAGGCAGCAGACCTCACACACTCACACTGTGGCTGTGAGGAAGGCCGCAGACCTCACACACTCACACTGTGGCTGTGAGGAAGGCAGCAGACCTCACACACTCACACTGTGGCTGTGAGGAAGGCAGCAGACCTCACACACTCACACTGTGGCTGTGAGGAAGGCAGCAGACCTCACACACTCACACTGTGGCTGTGAGGAAGGCAGCAGACCTCACACACTCACACTGTGGCTGTGAGGAAGGCCGCAGACCTCACACACTCACACTGTGGCTGTGAGGAAGGCAGCAGACCTCACACACTCACACTGTGGCTGTGAGGAAGGCAGCAGACCTCACACACTCACACTGTGGCTGTGAGGAAGGCAGCAGACCTCACACACTCACACTGTGGCTGTGAGGAAGGCAGCAGACCTCACACACTCACACTGTGGCTGTGAGGAAGGCAGCAGACCTCACACACTCACACTGTGGCTGTGAGGAAGGCAGCAGACCTCACACACTCACACTGTGGCTGTGAGGAAGGCCGCAGACCTCACACACTCACACTGTGGCTGTGAGGAAGGCCGCAGACCTCACACACTCACACTGTGGCTGTGAGGAAGGCAGCAGACCTCAGTGTGTTCTCGCTGTCCTGGCTGCTTGAGGGGAATTTTATTGCGTGTGCGTGCATACTGTGTATATTTTGTGCGTGTGTGAGTATACCCACCCAGTGAGTATACTCACCCAGTGAGTATACTCACCCAGTGAGTATACTCACCAGTGAGTACACTCACCAATGAGTATACTCACCAGTGAGTACACTCACCAATGAGTATACTCACCAGTGAGTACACTCACCAATGAGTATACTCACCAGTGAGTACACTCACCAATGAGTATACTCACCAGTGAGTACACTCACCAATGAGTATACTCACCAGTGAGTACACTCACCAATGAGTATACTCACCAATGAGTATACTCACCCAGTGAGTATACTCACCAATGAGTATACTCACCAATGAGTATACTCACCCAGTGAGTATACTCACCAATGAGTATACTCACCAATGAGTATACTCACCCAGTGAGTATACTCACCAATGAGTATACTCACCAATGAGTATACTCACCCAGTGAGTATACTCACCAATGAGTATACTCACCAATGAGTATACTCACCAGTGAGTATACTCACCAATGAGTATACTCACCAATGAGTATACTCACCCAGTGAGTATACTCACCCAGTGAATAAACTCACCAATGAGTATACTCACCCAGTGAGTATTACTCAGCAGTGAGTATAACTGTTCTGCTTTAGCTCCAGATCCCTGTCTGTTATTGTGTCGCTTGTCTGTGGGAGTGTCGACACTGTCCCTTCCTGGAACACTTGGAACAGTAACTGGAATGCTTGAAACGGTAACTGGAACGCATGGAACAATTACTGGAACGCCTGGAACAGTTACTGGAAGGCCTGGAACTGTTACTGGAAGGCCTGGAACTGTTACTGGAAGGCCTGGAACTGTTACTGGAAGGCCTGGAACTGTTACTGGAAGCCCTGGAACAGTTACTGGAAGGCCTGGAACTGTTACTGGATAGCCTGGAACTGTTACTGGAAGGCCTGGAACAGTTTCTGGAAGGCCTGGAACAGTTACTGGAAGGCCTGGAACAGTTACTGGAAGGCCTGGAACTATTACTGGAACGCCTGGAACAGACACTGGAAGGCCTGGAACTGTTACTGGAACACCTGGAACTGTTACTGGAACACCTGGAACTGTTACTGGAACACCTGGAACAGTTACTGGAACACCTGGAACTGTTACTGGAACACCTGGAACTGTTACTGGAACACTTGGAACAGTTACTGGAACACCTGGAACGCCTGGAACACCTGGAACTGTTACTGGAACGCCTGGAACAGTTAATGGAACACATGGAACAGTTACTGGAACACCTGGAACTGATACTGGAACACCTGGAACAGTTACTGGAAGGCCTGGAACAGTTTCTGGAACACCTGGAACAGTTACTGGAACACCTGAAAGTTACTGGAACACCTGGAACAGGTACTGAAACATCTAGAACAGTTACTGGAACACCTGGAACTGATACTGGAACACCTGGAACAGTTACTGGAAGGCCTGAAACAGTTTCTGTAACACCAGGAACAGTTACTGGAACACCTGGAACAGTTACTGGAACACCTGGAACAGTTACTGGAACACCTGGAACAGTTACTGGAACACCTGGAACAGTTACTGGAACACCTGGAACTGTTACTGGAACGCCTGGAACAGTTACTGGAAGGCCTGGAACTGTTACTGGAAGGCCTGGAACTGTTACTGGAAGGCCTGGAACAGTTACTGGAAGGCCTGGAACTGTTACTTGAAGGCCTGGAACTGTTACTTGAAGGCCTGGAACTGTTACTTGAAGGCCTGGAACTGTTACTGGAAGGCCTGGAACAGTTACTGGAAGGCCTGGAACAGTTACTTGAAGGCCTGGAACTGTTACTGGAAGGCCTGGAACTGTTACTGGAAGGCCTGGAACAGTTACTGGAAGGCCTGGAACTGTTACTGGAAGGCCTGGAAGAGTTACTGGAACACCTGGAACAGTTACTGGAAGGCCTGGAACTGTTACTGGAAGGACTTGCTAATGGCTCCCAATTGCTACAAACTGCTCTCGTTCATTACGTCTGGTAATTAAACCATACTAATCAACACTGAATTTGTCATAATATTTGTGTACTCACCTACTCACTTGGAGCCGCTCGGCCAGCACGCGGGACTTGTGATTTCTGCGGTCCTGGGTTCGATCCCAGGCGCCGGCGAGAAACAATGGGCAGAGTTTCTTTCACCCTATGCCCCTGTTACCTAGCAGTAAAATATGTACCTGGGTGTTAATCAGCTGTCACGGGCTGCTTCTTGGGGGTGGAGGCCTGGTCGAGGACCGGGCCGCGGAGACACTAAAAGCCCCGAAATCATCTCAAGATAACCTCTCAAGGTAACCTAGTTGTAATCACCTAGATGTGCTTTTGGGGGGTTGAGCTCTGACTCTTTGGTCCCGCCTTTCAACTGTCAATCAACTGGTGTACAGATTCCTGAGCCTATTGGGATCTATCATATCTACACTTGAAACTGTGTATGGAGTCAGCCTCCACCACATCACTGCCTAATGTATTCCATCTGTTAACTACTCTGACAATGAAAAAGTTCTTTCTAACGTCCCTGTGGCTCATGTGGGTACTCAGCTTCCACCTGTGTCCCCCTATTCGTGTTCCACCTGTGCTAAGGAGTTTATCTTTGTCCACACTGTCAAATCCCACGAGAATTTTGTACGTGGTTATCATGTCTCTCTTTACTCTTCTGTTTTCCAGGAACGCGAAGTTCAGCTCCCTTAGCCTTTCCTCATAGCTCAGACCTCTCAGTTACTGGACACGTCTGGAGGCATACCGCTGAATTTTCTCTTAACTTTGTCTTGTGTTTAACTTATAATGGACTCCAAGCTGGAGCTGTCATACTCCAGGATTAGTCTTACATAAGTGGTATACAATGTCCTGAATGATTCCTTACACAAGTTTCTAAAAGCAGTTCTTATGTTGATCAGTCTAGAATATGCCGCTGATGTGATGTGGCCTTTTGATGTGGTCCTCTGGGGACAGGTTCGGTGTGATATCAACCACCAGATCTTTCTCTCTATTTGACTCTTGCAGAATTTCACCTCCCAAATGATACCTTGTGTTCAGCCTCGTGCTCTCTTCGCCCAATTTCATTACTTTACACTTTCCTGAGTTGAACTTTAGGAGCCATTTTCTAGACTATTCCTCCAGTTTGTCTAGGTAGTCCTGTAGTCTCTGTCTATCTTCATCCGTCTTGATTCTTCTCATAATTTTTGCATCATCAGCAAACATTGAAAGGAATGAGCCTATGCTCTCTGAAAGATCGTTTACATATATATAAGAAACAGGATGGGTCCAAGTACAGAGCCCTGTGGAACCTCGCTGGTGACATCTCGCCACTCTGATGTCTTCCCCTTCACCGTTACTCGCTGTTTCCTGTTGATTAGATACTCCCTTATCCACTGGAGCACCTAACCTTTTACTCCTGCCTGTTCCTCCAACAATTGTAACAGCCTTTTTTTAAGGGGATCCGAGTCAAGAGCTTTCTGACAGTCCAGGAAAATGCAGTCTGCCCACCCTTCTCTTTCTTGCCTATTTTTTGTTGCCTGGTCATAGAACTCTATTAACCCTGTGAGGCAAGATTTGTCATTTCTGAACCCATGTTGGTGATGTCACAAAGCTATTTCCTTCTAGTTGTTCTACGAGCCTTTTCCTCGCGGTTTTCTCCATCACCTTGTATGGTATACAAGTTAGGGAAACTGGCCTGTAGTTCGGGGCCTCTTGCCTGTCACTTTTCTTGTATATTGGGACTACATTAGCTGTCTTCCAGCTTTCCGGAAGGTCTCCTGTTTCCAGTGACCTGTTATACACCAGAGAGAGTGGCACACTTAGTGCTTCTGCACCTTCTTTTATTATCCACGGTGAAATTCTGTCAGGCCCAACAACCTTTGTCACATTCAGCTCTAACAGATTCATTTTGACCTCATCACTGGTGAGGTCAAATTCCTCCAAGGTTGCTTGGTTTGCCTCCTCCTCATTTAGTGCAGGGGCTTCTCCTTGTTCTATTGTGAAGACCTCCTGGAATCTCTTGTTGAGTTCTTCACACACCTCCTTGTCATTCTCTGTGTATCTGTTCTCCCGTTTTCTCAGTTTCATCACTTGTTCCTTCACTGCTGTTTTCCTCCTGATGTGGATGTAGAGCAGCTTTGGTTGGGTCTTGGCTTTACTCGCGATGTCATTTTCATTCTGTCTCTCTGCTTTCCTCCTCACTCTGATGTACTCATTCCTGGCCCTCTGGTATGTCTTCCTGCTCTCTGGTGTTCTGTTATTTTTGTAGTTTCTCCATGTTCTTTTACTCAATTGCTACGCTACCTTACATTCCTGAATAAACCATGGATTTTTTTGTTGCCTTTCGTGTTTCTCCTTTTGGACCGGGATAAACCTGTCTGCAACTTCCTGGCACTTCTGGGTGACATAATCCTTCATATCCTGTACAGTCTTTTCTCTAAGTTCTGTTTCCCATGGTATTCCCATTAGGAAGTTCCTCATCTCGTCATATTTTCCTCTCAGGTAATTTAGCCTTTTCCCTTCCAATTCCATCCTTGGATAGGTTATCCTTACCTCCACCAGATACTCAAATGTCAATTCACTGTGGTCACTCATTCTCATGGGGCTTCAAAATTAATTTTCCTTATTTCTGACTCATTCAGGGTGAATATCAGGTCGAGTCTTGCTGGTTTCGTCATTGCCTCTCATTCATGTGGGTCCCTTGACATGCTGGCTCAGAAAGTTCCTTGTTGCCACTTCCAAGAGTTTAGCTCTGTATGTGTCTGCACCACCATGTGGGTCCCCATTCTCCCAGTCTATCTTTCCATGGTTGAAATCGCCCATGATTAAGAGTCTGGAGCCATTCCTGCAAGTAACTGAAGCTGCTCTCTTTTATATTATTGATTGCCATGTTGTTCCTATCAAACTCCTGTCTGGGTCTTCTGTCATTTAGGGGAGGGTTGTAAATGACTGCCACTATTATCTTAGGTCCACCCATTGTCATAGTTCCTGTTATGTAGTCTCTGAATCATTCACAGCCCAGAATTTCCATCTCCATGTGTGTACTCACCTTTTTGTGCCTGTACACACACACACAGAGTGTGTGTGTGTAAGTGTGCGTACATGTATGTGTACGTGCACGTACTCAGGGGGCACAGATGCTGAAGTAAGTAAGTAATTATCAAAAGAAGGCACCAAACCGGGAAGGCTATGTAGCACCATCAAATGTGCGGAATAATCAGAGGGCGCTAAATATCACCAAGGATGCCAATACGAGAACAAAAACTCATAAGGCAAATGATATCAAAAGTATCCGAGTCACCAAGAATTCTATTGAGGGACAGTTGACCGCGAGGGACGGTCGGAAAGCAAGACACACGCTCGTCCTGGAAGTCAGGATATTCAAGAGGATATGCACGACCGTAAGAGGGACAATGCAATTAGGACAATAAGGAGCAGGGCGGCGCTCCATCAAGTGACCATGGGTTAAGTGAATATGGCCAATACGCAACCTTGCCAGAGCCGTTTCCCATCGCCGGTTACGGTGGTAGGAGGACGGCTACGAGGAAACACAACATTTAAGAGTACGTAGTTTTTTTACCAGTAACAGACGACCAAGAAGCCTGCCAACGGGAAAGGATGGAGGAATGGATAACCAGGTAAAAGTCGGAATATGGAATATCTTAACGAGAGATGGGACAAGAGCTTCCTTGGCAGCAGCATCCGCACGCTCATTTAAAGACACACCAATATGGCTGGGAACCCAACAAAACTCAACCGACTTAAATTTACTGTGAACAAGAAACAGCCAATGCTTGATCTCGACAACTACTGGATGAACCAGATTAAAGGACCCGAGAGCCATGAGGGCACTACGAGAGTCAACAACAACTAGAAAGGAAGACTGACAACGAGAAAGCAGGTGACGAAGAGCATAGAGAATAGCATAAAGCTCCGCTGTGAAGATGCTAGTCTCCGAAGGTAAGCGATACATATAAGTGCGATCAGGAAAAACAACAGTAGCCAACACCGTCCGCAGACTTAGACCCATCGGTGAAGAAAGAAACAGAGCGGGAGTGAGAAGAAAAGTGCTCAAGGAAAAGGCGTTTGAGAACCGTAGGAGGGGGTAAAAGCTTTAGTGATGCGGGTCAAGGATGTACAAAACTGCAGAAGGACTCTCCATGGAGGCAAAGAAGGAACAACGCGAGGAGAAACATTAGAAATACGAACGGAAAGAGAATCCTGTAAGCGAGATAACTGGACAGAAAGAGGGAGGTGAAGAGGAACACGAACCGCAGGAGGGGTAAAAGTTAAAGCACGACAGAGGCGAGAGGAAGAATGTTGCAAGGACTGCGCAAGATAGCGAAGACAGTAGCGATCACGGCGGTCCTGGAGAGACAGGAAGCCAGTGTCCACATACAAGCTAAGGATGGGAGTCGAACGAAAGGCACCAGAACTGAGGCGCAACCCAATATGGTGCAAAGCATGAAGACGGCAAAGAGTAGAAGGAGAAGCAGACGAGTAAGCAGGGCAACCATAATCGAGCTTAGACAGGACGAGAGAGGAATGTAAAGCAAGGAGAGTGCGCGTTTTGGCTCCCCAAGAAGTATGGGACAATACCCGAAGAAGGGTAAGGGCCTTAGAGCACTCAACACGGAGGTAAGAGATATGGGGAGACCAAGACAAACGAGTGTCAAGGAATAACCCCTAAAGCTTCGCAGAATCTT